CTCGCGGATCACAAAGCAAATATGGTTGAGAAGTAGCCGTCTTGAAACACAAGGCGATTGCGCGCTTGTATCCAGGTGTGCGTTAAAGAACCATGAATTGTCCCTCTTTGTCCATTCCTTGTTTGTACGTGACTGCCTATAGAGCAACCTTTGCAAACTTCCCACTACTTCGTCCTTGGAAATATTTCACTGCGCCCAATCATCGATCCATCATTTCACCATCTATAAGTAAATGCTCTAGCTTGAGAAGTAGCCTATATGAAATGCAACATGGTCGTGTACTTGTATCCAGATGCTCATTAGAGAACCATAGATTCTCCCACTGTGTCCATTCTTTATTTGTACGTGACTGCCTATAGAGCCACCTTTGCAAACCTCACTACTTCGTCTTTGCAAACATTCCGCAACGCCCAGTCACGAATCCCCACTTCACAGACCATAAAGCCGTTATGATGAGGGGGAAACGGAAGTGAAGTGTGAATAATACATACGAATAATAAATTTTTGTATAAATATATACAGTGTTTGTCACGTCATTGTTGATGAAGTAGATTACATTCTTTAATGATTCATGGTTCAGGAAGGAAGGAAGAAAGAAAGAGCCTGGAAACTGCGACACGCACCCACGCTGGAGGATCGGCCAAGAACCGGGTAGTTCTGACAAAATACTGTTAAGTTGCTAGCTCAAGTATTTGAAACTATTAAAAAAGGGCAAAAATAACATTAGAAATGGTCATAAGAAATAACGGATATAGAAAATGAAGGAGATGGTGTGCACCAAAAAAAATAAATAAATGAATAAGCAATTAGGAAAAAAGTAATTTGGGAGTAATGATGTTACGGGGAATAAGTAGTATACACTGATGAACAAATGTGTACTGGCGAATATACTGGCGAGCTAATTATATATGAGTGAGTGAGAGAATTAACGAGTGAGTTCGATGAAAGCGCTTTAGAGGTGCTCCTAAATGTAGTAGTAAGTTTGAATAATAACTTTGAATTCGACCAAAAACATTACCTACAAGTTAACGGAACTGCCATGGGAACCAAAATTGCCCCAAATCACGCAAATATTTTATGGCCTCTTTGCAGATTGCTTTCCTCGAAAATTCTCCATTCAAATCGATATTATACCGACGCTTC